ATTTAAATAAAAGTTAGAAAATACGGTTTTGTTACACTTTTCAAGGTTAGTCTTTGAACTTAAATTCATTAAATTAAAAACAAAAACAAACAAACAAACAAACAAACAAAAAACCCAAAAACTCCTCAAGCTCATCAGATCACAAAAGCCAAATATCTAGGTTTCATTTTTAATCAAACAGGCTAAATATTCATGTTTATGTGGCTAAATGAAGCTTTTGTGTGCAGTGCTCCAGTCCCTCCACATGAATAGTGGCATTGTGGCTGGGTGAGGTCACTGTGGGGGACAGTGAGCTAAGATCACAGCTGAGTCCACGGGCCCCTCTGCTGCACCGTGCACCAGCTTTCTCGAAGCCAGAGAGCTGCCGGTCACCACCAAAGGCCCTCAGTTTGTTTGTGCCGGCCTGTGGACCCTCTTGCCTGTGTATAGTGATGGCTCCATGTGCCATGAATAATTCAAGTGTTCTGTGAGGACCAGAAACGCAGAAGGAGCATGTGGCTGGCCAGGACTGCAGCAGTCTATGGTTTCTGCTCCTTTAAACATCCCTGGTGGCCACCTGCTCTGCGATGAAAGACTGTGCCTTTTACTTCCTACGGCTCTGTGACAGGATCTGTGAGGGATGGCTGCTGTAGTAACGGGACTGTACCTTGATGTGCTTGCCTCCCATGCAGTGACAGGCTGTCACCCGCAGATTCATTAAGGATGAATGATGGCTCATATTTTACCTACACTTCCTACTAACCAGACAGAAGAATGAGTCAGTTGCCAAGAGCATGCTGGCAAACAGCCCCTGGCTAACAGTGTCAGCACTGCCAGAACATGAAAAAAGTTTACTCTCTTTTCCCCTTCAACAAGATCTCTAGATTTGACCCCCTACTTTACAGTGCTGTGGGATCCTTCACTCTCCACTCGATACCTAGTGGCATTCGACTTAGATAAAAGGATCATGTCAAGACACCATGCCCAGACTTTTCTTGTGTCTGCCGCTGCAACAGTGGCATCAACTTTTAATCACCCCCTGGAAAAGGGTCTTCCCGGTGGTCCAAGATCCCAGACCTGAGCCCTCTCTCCACCTTATCTGGGAGGACGGGGAGTGGATTTTTTTAGGTCCATACTCTTTCAATTACACTTTGACCATTTCTACTGGGGATAAGCAAAGGATGGAGGCTGGCTCAGTAAAGCAGCAATGTGTGGCTTGTATGATGGCATGACTTACATGACAAGTGTATGCTGAGGTGTATTAGGGGATCAGGGTGTTAATACAAAATGGCTCATCAGCCATGTGCGGTGGGCATGGTATAGAGAGAAAGTGCTCTAGAAGTTTCTGGCAGAAAACAAACCTCTGAACTCAGCTGGACATCTTGGAGAGGGGGCAGAGACTGAGCAGGCCATTGGAGGTGTAACAGGCTTTGGTGTTCACCATAACAGACTGGGGAGGAGACCTATTCAGCCCTCACCCAAACAGCTCCTCCAGGCACCACCAGCCAGCAGTCGACTCGCTACTCTGGAAGATAGATTTGTGTGAGAGAGACTAGAGGCGTTGGTGGAGAGGCACATTTGGCTCTAACAGCCAGGGGGCTCTGGGGACCAGACAGGGGAAATGCTCATTATCTTTCAGACAAGAAGAGTCACTGGAGAATTAGGAGCACGGAGTGATGAGATGAAGTTAGTTTTCTGGACTGTGAATCTGGAAGTGTTGTGTAGGAGCATAATAACGAATATTATGATTGTTACTCAGCATAATGAAGTAAAAAACTTCACTTAGCTGGAAATGTAGTATGTGCATTTGGGACGTGGACTGAATTACGATGCCTGCTTCTTCTGAACACTGATCCTCGTGGCTTCTCACTATGAACAAAACAAATGCTGCCAGCCAAAGGCCTAACTATGACTCAATGTGGTCCCTAAAATCTATGTGCATTTGGAGACTAGAATATACGTCTTCTATTCATTAATTTATTGATTCTTTTATCAAACATTTGTGTCAATCTACTGGGTGCAAGGCACCATGATAGGCCGTGGGTGCAAATAGAAAGAAAAAATTAAACATGCTCTTTTCGATAGAAATGTGTCTCTATTTGCTGTAGATTTTGGTAAAACATGGGAGGTGTGAAAGTACAGAATGACTGGCAAATCCTCCTACTCAGAAGGTGCTGCAGCCCACTTACTGGTCGTGGTGGTTTTGGTGATTGCCTTTGCATGTAAGGCAGGCTCTGTGCGGGCAGCAAGGCAGAGCCAGAGGAGGGACCTGCCAGCAGCCTTTTTCCTCTAGTGGCTACTCAGCTTTTTATTCCTGTGACAAAAGCACTTCACATGAGCAACTTAAAGAAGAGGGATTTTTCTTAACAGATAGTTTAATAGGTTTGTGGCCACAATGCCCAAGCATCATGATGGAAAATATATCAGATGCTATGTAGCAAAGCTGCTTGACTTGTTGGAGAGAAGGAGAGAGGACAGAGGGGGGAAAAAGAGAGAAAGATAGGAAAAGATGGAAAAAGAGGGAAGGATGGGGAAAGAGAAGAGAAAAGGAGGAAGAGAAAGAGGAGAGACAGAGAGAGATCACCTGGAGGTGAGAGATACCCTTCAAACACTAACTCAAAGTAAGCCACTTCCTCCTACTGGACCCTGCCTCCTAATAACCCATAACTAGGAACTTATCAGTTACTTCATTAATGAGGTTAACTCTCTCCTGATATGGTTTCCCCTCAATATTGCCATCAATATTTCCAGGTCTTTATTAGAGCACAACATTACCTACAGGAGAGATGATTTCTAAATCAGATTGCCTTTCCACACACACCTCAAGCCTTCAACACATGAGCCTTTGGGGGCATTTTATATCCAAACTGTAACACCTAGGAAAAGTAAATCATATGTAATGACCTCTGTGTGTCTGTGAGATAGAGACTCATTTACTTAGAACTTACACGGCAATCTTTTCTCTAAGTTTTAATCCAGGACCCAAATCTTCCATGACCACTGTGGTGATCTCTAAACTCCTTGTTCTCCAGCGCCACCTTGATTATCTATGTCAGTCACAACCAAATACTTTGAACCCAGCCAAAGTTACAAGTGAAGCCCAGAGGTATCTGTTGGGAACTAACAGCAATTTTCAGACAGAGAGACAGAGACCGAGATCAATCAGCTGTCCTTACTTGGTGCATAAATCTCCGAGTAGAACAGCTCGATATTTTCTTGGATAATTGATTCAGGCCCTCGCCTTTCTGCGAGTGCATAAGCAACCGTTAATAAGTGAGTTTTGACAGTCTGCAACTGTTGGCTGGCACCTTGTTGAAGACAAGTACTGCCCTCATGTTGCGTTATTGCAGTTCTCAGTCAGCCTGGGGGATCTTCGCAGCATACTTCTGTAGATTATCTCTCCAACGCCATCGGCCCTGAGTGCTTTATAGTGCTAGCACACCGAGTTTTTGGATGGTGCTTTTGCAAGATAATGTCAGCAGCTGTGCCTTTACAGCAGAGGTAGGGATTCTAATGGTGTATTTCTTGGCAGTTCCCGAGCTGCCATCACTGTCACCCTTGCTGCCGTGCTCTCTGTTCAGAGCATAGCAAGACCAAACAACAAGTGGTAAGAGAAAATCTGGGTCTGCCTATAGCTGAGTCTATGACTGTGTGGATGGGGCAGGCACAGAGCCATCCATGTGACCGTGCCAAGTGCTTTGGCTGTTGTCTGAACACCACTACCAAGAACTGTAACTATAGTCACACAGATTTGGCTTGCAGTTGCCATGAACTTTGTTTCATTCTGTCCAGTTTCAACCATCAGTTTGTTGGGATGGAGCTGCCGAGTGGGAGATGAGTCTGGGGATAGAGGACAGTGCATGGGGGAGAGCTGGTCAGATCAGCTATGAGTAAACTACCTTGTTGACCCAGCAAGACAGATCAAACCATAGCCTCATGCTGCCTGTGCCAGGGTCTGTGCCACTAGTCAGCAGGTCACCCAGTCATGGCCCTGTGAAATCTCTCAGCGGCTCAGAGCAGTGGAGACTGATTAAACATGTTTATATATAATTTGAAAATGGTTCTCTCAGGAAGCATGTGGTTCTTTAAAGTCATTTTAAAATGTGAGATTTTACTTCAGTTTATTTATACTCCAGCCAAAAAAAGAGCCCCAAATCCAGCACAGAGGCCCATGATGTATGGAGTCTTCCAAGAGAATTGTCAGAACTGCCTTATATATTTCACTCTATCAATATGGCCTTTCACAGTTCCTAATTAGTTTTGTTAGTTGACTTACAGAAAAGTGTATTTAAAGCAAGCCGTCAGGCATTCCACCAAGGGACCAACACTAATGAAAAGCACACACTGTCGGGAGGCCAGTAGAAGAGCAATCGGTTCAGTCCCAAGCACCCCTAATTTGTACTGGGGTGATTATCATCCCTGTTAGAAAACACTTCAGTTGGTAAGCCTCGGTGATTACTTCAGCAATGAGTAGCTGAGTTTGCGTGTTAACAGACATACCACAGAGATTGTACTGGGAAGTCGGCTGACTTTGGGCTACCCATATACCTCTCAAAGAGAAAAAGGCTCCAAAGGAAAGAGCATACTCAACAAACTATAAGTTTCGTTGATTTTGGCATTCCCCTTTGTCTAATCCTGGTCGTTGTCCCTTCTGAGGGATGGATATTTGAAGCATGGCACCTTCCAGTTTCTATAACTGGAGCAGGTGTTCGCCTGCTTTGTGTGTGTTACGGTAGATCTGCCCAGTCTACCAGAAACTGTGGATGCACAATTAGGTCCCGACAATGCACACATTCATGCTGATCAAACCATGTTCCTTAAATGAGGGCTGCCTTTGCTTTAGCTCCTGCTGAGTTTCCAAGCAGGTCCCTGGCTGCCAGCATTTCTAGCCGGGTAGGTTTTGCTGCAGAACAGTTTCCATTCATTTGAGCTCTGGCAAAGATGGAAGGTCTCTGTCCTCTGTGTGGAGAATGCAAAGCAGGAGTGTCTTGTGTCATCACTTTGGTTTATCACCATTCTAGGGTGAGAGCTGCGGAGCGATGACCATCACACAGCTTCTCCCGGTGCCAGATGCGCTCAGGTGTCAGTTTGTCTGTGGTGTGCTGTGGAAGCAAGGGAGAGCTTGCCAATCCACTTCGCTAATGCGAGCTTGACTCATGACATCAGCAGTAAACTAGGACTTCGCTTCTAACCACATACAAATAGATCTCAGGCTGCTGGTTATGCTCTGATGTCAGTCCTGAGGCCCCTCTCCCCTTCATTAGCTGATGTACTCCCTGGGGGTAGATGCAAGGAGAAAGAATTCAGTTTTGTTTTCCTAATGCACCAAGTATGTTTTGAACAATAGAAATACTTTTCTATCAACAGTTTTCTGGCTTGTTGATTTCCCAACTCAGTTAATTAGACTTCTGCGTCTGTATTTCCAGGTCTTTATTAGAGCACAACATTACCTACAGGAGAGATGATTTCTAAATCAGATTGTGTTTCCACACACACCTCGGTCCTCTCCCAGGAGCCTTCCTTCGGTGTCTACATGCAGTAGCAGAACCAGACCAACCAAATTATTCTGCAGTTTGAAGGCATCTCGGCAGGTTAGGACAGTAGTCTGACTGGTGGGGAAAGGTGTTTACAAGGGCCCACTGATGATACCAGCCTGAGAAGCCCAGGGCATGACTCAGACCTGCCAAGGCTTTGCTTCAGGCCAGGCTGCTTCTGCGTGTTCATGTTCATCTGATGGGCACTCTCACCCCAGCGCACACAGGGCAGAGATTAACATGTGTGGCTGTGTCTCTATGAATCAGCACTCACCTTCTCAGGAGACTATTTTGCACTGCACAAAAGCCTATTTATTAAAAAGGGGCTCACTTGGAAATGCAGCACAAACTCAGAAATATGTGTCTCCTCAGGGCCAATCTATAGCCAGAGACCATAAGAAATAATTAAAGAAGAGAAGGAAAAAGCGAGAACAAGGAAGAGATGAAATCCACGAGTGATGACAGGCTTTCGCAGTAAAGCCTCCGTGAGCTCCATGGCTATTTTCTTGGCACAGAAGCACATACAAATGAAATTGCTGCTGAACATATAAGAGAGAAATTTAATTAGGTGTAATCATAGCACTTTTGATTTTCAAGGCACTTTGCAAATGCAAACTAATTAATCTTCCATTGTATATTCAAGTGGTAAGGATCTATCTTTCCGCTGTATCAAAAGAAGCTCACACAGGGTGCTGGCCTCCCAGGAGAGCTCAATCTTCATCTAGGTACAATTCTGCTGTTGGCTACACACTTAAGCCAGACTGAATGATGGCAGTGGGCACAAGGGCATAGCAATGGATGATACCAAATTGGCAGGCTTAGAGGAGTGACCAAGGAAAAATGCCCTAATATGAAAAAAAAATCATCCTAAATCAGCATACGCCCAAAGATCACAAACTGAAAATAGAGAATAGAGATTGGAAGAAGCAAATTTTAATAGAGAGCTGCTGATTTAAGTGTGGGATGTAGTCCTTGGAGCACAGAAGAGCTTCGTGTTAGCCAGTTCTGGGCCTTTGGACAAGACCCTAATAGTACTGAAGGCCAGTTTCCTCGCCTGTAGATTGTGGGTGTTGGAATAGCCGGTCCCCTGGGGCTCTTTTGCTCGGAAATTGAGATTTCTGTACAAGGCAAGTAGTGAGTCAACGGACCCAGCCTCTTCTCTGAACAGGGTCTCTGAAGACTGTGTTCTAAGTGGGTGACTCTTCAGCTGCAGAGCGGGGACATGGCATAAATCTGCACACAGTACATTCATCCAATTAGCCTGAAACTTCAACCTTAATCAAAGATTCCTTTCTCCCGGCGCTGTACCAATATCACAAATGCAAACAGCGCAGGGGCTTTTCAGTTGGAGCAGTTCATACAGCTAGCATTTTTTTATGACTGGAGTCAGTCCAAATTCTCCCCTTATACTGCCACATTAAATGCTGTGAGGTGTGTGTATGTGTGTGTGTGTGTGTGTGTGTGTGTGCATGTATGTTTGTCTGTCTATATGCCTGTGTGTTTATCTTTGTTTCATGGAAGTATTTGTGGTGGGGCTAGTGATAATTCAGGATAATAAACCAATTATATAAGCTGAGATTACAAAGCATTCCTGTGATTCCTTCTATATTTGGGTCACTTAAAAATAGTGTGATTCTGGTTGTTTTTAGAAGTGAGGTAATATTTTTAGGAATGAATTTATGATAGGAAGATAAAATAATGTGAAACAACGGGACCTAAACTCAAGTATACCCAACTGAGAATATAAGGAAAAGGTTTGTCGGGAACACTAACCTACCAGCCAAGTCATTCAAAGTTAAGCTGCAGAGATTTCCCTGGCTATCCAGGCAGCATGTTCAATGATACATCCACATTAAAAACCAAAAAGAAACACAGAAAGACTAGGCTAGTAGTTTTCTTTGAAATAAGTTATCATTTTGATTGTCAGTGTGGGTCAATTAATATAAACCCCTCTTATCTCAAAGCAAATATCAAGAAAAAAACACAATGAAGTTGCTAAAGCAATTGTTACATTAATGTAGACATTTCAAAAGTCGGATGTTTGTATTTGCACATGCTGCAATACTTTTAAAAGGATTTTCAACTTGCTGTATTTGGAGGGGAAGATTTTTCTGGCAAGCATGTATTATGTAGTATTATTAGTTTTGTTGTTGTTAGGGCTAATAGTGACAAGAACTTGAAATTGATGAACAGAACTGAAGACAAATATCCTGTTATGATACAACTAGTTCCATGAACCTTGAAGCAAGATAACGCTGTGGTTTGCTTTTAGTGGTTGTGTTAATTGTTTGTATTTCCATGTCTCCATGTACCAGAATCCTGACAATCCCTAACCCTTGGCTCTTTGTCTTCATAGCTACCAGCAGGGATTCAGACCATGAAATGTGCACATTATACAAACACAGCATCTCTCTGTGTGATTGCTGTATGTTGTTTCCACAGGAGACCCGTTTCCTTCTATAATTTGCTTCTAAAGACAGGTTACTCTCCCTCAGAAGGTTGGGGTAGGCAGAAAACTGTCTTCGAGAATGTAAAGCCCTCTGGCTTGTTGCTTCAGTGGCATCCAGCGACAGTCAAGTTTCCCAGGAAGTTAGATGCATTCTCCCAGTATCTTAAATTGCCCTTTTGTTTCATTCTGTCTTTTCAGAGAAGCTTTCAATATGTATCCCCGGTTGGCTTCAAACACTAGCTCCTCCCACTAGCCATCCCAATGCTAGGATTATAGGCATGTGCCACCATGACCACATTCCTCTCACACCTTTGTCTTGAGAAGGTACCTCTCTTCCTGTCTGCCTTGCTACTTACAGCACAAACCCGAAGATAAGAAGGATCTTTATAGTCAGTGACTCTTAGTATTCTTAATATTTGGAGATTTGGCTGATTTCTGGCAGGTATTTTTTCATTGGAGACGCCTCTGAATATTTTTCACTTACTGACGAGATTTAAAAGTGTGATGTAATCAGAATGTGTACATTAATTAATGACGACTGTGTGGTAATTACATTTGTGAAGCTAGGAAAGTCTTTTTACTGACCACCCAATGGGTAGTTCTCATTTTTTTATTGACTCAAATTCTCCCCTGAAGTGTAATAACATCCTTGCTTATCCCTTATTATCTTAAAAATTGCAAATTTGATATAAATTATGTGCCATTGACACTATAACAGAATGTACGCTGTTATACCTATGCCAAACCAGAAAGCAAGGTGGGAGGGGTTGCTGGGTTCTCCTGTATGAAGGCTCACAGAGAAGTCTCTACTTCTGTTTTTATTCACACACCCCAATCCCACACTAATGTTTATACTTTTAATCATTAAAAGTAGCCTTTTGGGTTTTGGACAGCAAACACAACTCTTTGCCAAGCTATAAAATTCATAATGTTTAAGAGAAAGATCAAACTAAAAGGAGAGAGTTTATATGCACCAATATTTACTTAGTGGAAATATTCTGTTTGGATGGCCTCCTGCTATTTGATTCTGGTGCATTAGAAGAAAGTCTGGGCTATAATTTGTTTGTTTTTTCTTCTTATATTATGCTTTTCCAATTTTTAAAAACTTCATAAATGTTATTGCTCTGCAGAGATGCTATGTATCTGCCTGTGGATTGACTGTGGATTTTTGCCTTAAAAAGAAAAACAAAACAAAAAACACACAACTTGGGTTAGTTTTCAAAGATAACTGTTTATGTTTTCAAAGATAACTGAAGGCAGTCCTTTTTTTCCTAGAGTCTAATTTTAAGTGCTAGTGGTAATTTCAGTTTCTATAGTGGTTATAGTTTCTAGGGATGATGTGATTTTCAAAGGATGCTTTGTTGACATTTCATGGCTCAACTTCAGCCATATCTGAATCTTACATGTTTAATTTGTCTTTATATAATTCTTTAGAGATATAAATATCATGGAGTTTATCATCAAATCTTACTTTTACACAGCCATGAATATTGTCATCAAAATAGTGACGAAGAGCTCATCACCTCACTTTTATTAATGTGAGTGTCATTGTTCTTATTTGAAATTATAAAATGTTGGAGAAGTTCCCAAATCAGATTTTATCATCAGTTATGCCATCTCTGACGATCAACTGTATTATGATAGATGCTGTGTGCAAAGTGGAGGGAGCAGTGGATGAATATGTAAATATTTAAATATCTTGCTTTGTTCTTTATTTGATTGTTCCTTTTCCAAGCAGAGGAGATGTCACAAAAATCACATTTTCCTGATCCATATCTTTGTGTCTGTGTCCTTTATGTTTTCACTCTCATGAATCCCTGACATAGGTAGACTAGAAAAAAAAAAGAAAAGTAAGTTGATGGTGGAGGAACAATTAGAAATGAAAAGAGAAGGAAGATGTGGAGAGATGATACATGAGTGGTTAAAGGAAGGGATCTTCTTTGCTTACAGGTATTCACTTAACAAGTGTGACATCTGTTTCTTGTATGTGCTCCAGTCCCCACCCAGTAGTATTCATGGTGGACACAGTTGTATCTTAGAGAGTCAGAGGGATGAAGATGGAGCATGTTTCTGGAAGGGCCCACTACTTTGGTTCAACC